AAAGAGGTCAGAATCCAGACCGCCCTCATCCTTGGGAGGATTGAGATACACACCTGCCACTGCCCATCATCAGTGAATCCAGGTCTCCTTTCACAAAGAACGAGTTGCTTCCCGTCCACTTAAAGACCTGCGGTGACAGGAAAGTTTGTCCAGGTTACAGGCCAGTTCTACCCCTGCAGTTTGGTCTGTGACCGCTGGGTGGCAGTGTTGTGCAGGGAACACACCCAGGCCCAACTAATGCAGAAGTACTCCGGACCCAGGGCTCCCAAGTTTTCTGCTCCCTCTCCTTGGGGTGTACCCCCTCGTGTCCTCTAGTTTGGATTCCCAAAGACTAGAATCTTCTTCATTCTGGGAATAGAACAAAAAGCCTCTGAGGCTTCCTGCTTCCAAAGCTGGAGAGAGGAGGTGGAAAGTCCAGGTCAGGAGTTGACTGATAACTGCCATTTACTAACTTGCTCATCATCTGCTCTCCCCAGAGGTGACACCACACCCACCTGCCCTCCTGTGCTTCCTCACTCCAGTTTATCGCCAAGTCCTGCAGGCCCTAGGTAGCCCTGCCTCCACCATTTCTGCTCTTTCCCACCCACTCCAAGCCACGTTCACTCCTGGCTGGATCACAGCGTCGCAATGGCCTCTCTGCTGCTAATGGCCCCCAGCCCCAGCCCACCTCCACACCGCAGCCTGAGTGATCTCGTCAACATCTGATTCAGATGTCACCACTCCTCTGCTAAAGCCCCCCAGTGACTTTCCGCTGCAATAGGAATAAAATACAGCTCCTCACTGTAGCTGAAACCACAGGCTGCGCTGATGCGTCTCCCTCGGAGCTCTCCCCTTTCCTGAGTCTACCTCACCTGCACTGGCGTTGCTGTCCCTGGGACACCCAAAGCACATTCCTACCTCAGACCTTAATGAGTACTAATCCCTCTGTCCAGAACGTCCTTCTTCCAGATCCTCAAAGGGCCCATTTCTTTCTTTTTATTTATTTATTTTTTTATTATTATTTGACCAGGGAGAGAGAGAAAGGGAAAACGAGAAAGCAAGCCATCAGGTTCAGGACTTGAACTGTGGTCTGGCACTTGGGAATCCAGCAGCTTTAATCACCACACCACCTGCCAGCCCTTTTTGCCTTTTTTTTTTTTTTTTAATTTTTAAAGAATTATTTATGTTCAAGTCCTGAACCTGGCAGCTTGCTTTCTCACTTTCTCTCTCTCTCTCACTCACTCTGTCCCTCTCTGGTCAAATTAAAACAAATAAATAAAGTTAAATAAAATAATTCTTTTTAAAAGAGAATTATTTATTAAATTAAATTAATTAATGATTATTTAATTCACCAGGCGGAGAGAGTGGGAAAGTGATAAAGCAAGACACCAGGTCCTGGACTTGAACCCAGGTCAGCCATGGGGAGTCCAGCATCTCACCTACCACACCACCTGCTGGCCCCTCCAAGGGCCCATTTCTCATCTTGCAGCCCAAATGTCATCTCAGAAAGATTGACTAGACCACTGTCTCTAAAGTAGCGCTTCCTTCCAGACATTGTTTTATTTTCTTCAGCATTTACAGTTCTTAAGAGATGACTGTTCATGTCAACGTGCTGTCATCCGCCCTGCTAAAGTGCAAGTTTGATCCTGAGGCCTGTCATGATTTCTGGCTGTATTCTTGGCACGTGGCACAGATATTCATTGAATGAATCAAGTATTTAAAAGTTGAATTAGACACTAAAAGGATTTTTAAAGGGTCACAAAAGCATAATATGTTATTGCCTGTAATTATTGTAGTTGCAAAGAAAGCCTGTGAGAAACCAAAAGGTTTTTAGCAAGAAAATGGACTAATAAAAAATAATTCCTAGGTTCAGAAGGGATGAGATAATATTGACAAGTAACTAGAAGAAGACAGAACCATTCAACTCCTCCTCTCCTCTCTGCAAGGACATGACCTTGAGACTCGAAGGAGTAAGATAAATATTGCTACAGAAGAAAGTAAGACCAGCTTCTTGGTTGGCTTGGAATAGGGCTCAAGGAACTGCTGGGAATTCGTGAAGAACACAAGTGCCAGAAGACCGAAGAGATGTAGGACTCAACTGAGTTTTGAAAGATGGGATTTCATAACAGTAGGCTAGGAAGACAGATAGCAACCCCCTGAAAAAAAGAGTTCACTTTGGGACAGTTAGCATAATGGCTATGTCATTGGACTCCCATGTAGGCAACCGCAGTTCGAGTCCCAGACCCGGTGGCTTAAAACTCACGCCGGGCGCGTGTGCGTGCGTGCCCAAGATCCCGAGAGGAGAATGGAGAAGGGATTGCAGCGTGGCCATCCTCCCTGGGGCGGCGGGGTGGTGATTTCTTGCTTTCTGTCTCTCTCTCTCTCTCTGTCTGGTGAGTGCATGCGCCGTATAGCAAAAACCTCTCAAAAAAAATAGTTCACTTCAATAATTCAATTATTTTCAGCATTTATGCATCAAGCACTGTTTTAGACACTGGGCAAAACAGAACACAATGGGAAAAAAATAACTCTGCTTCGAAGGACTCACATTTAGTGGGAGAATGGTATGTTGGGGCAGGGCAGTGGCATAGCAGTGAAATGGGCGCTCTACAAGGCTGACCCACAGGGGAGGGTTCCTGGTTCATGTCCAGAGACCTTCCTGGACACAAACCAGCTACAATCTGGGGCTGGCTGGAGCTGGGGTGGATAGTGGCATGAAAAGCCTGTTGGAGAGGCCTCTCTCGTTCACTCATGGAAGAAATAAATAAAACTTAAAAAATAATAATTAAAAAAAACTATTTTAGGAACCAGCACTTGGTGTAATGACTATGTCACTGGACTCCCATATAGTCGACCATGGTTTGAGTCCCAGACCCAATGGCTTAAACTCATGGCAGGCACGTGTGCGTGTGTGCTCAAGATCCCGAGAGGAGAATGGAGGAGAAGGGATTGCGGCGTGGCCATCCTCCCTGGAGGGTTGATTTCTCGCTTTCTGTCTCTCTGTCTCTGTCTTTCTGACAAGTGCATATGCTCTATAGCAAAAACCTCTCCAAAAAAAAAAAAAAGAAAAAAGAAAAAAAAACTTAAAAAAAAAAAAAAGGAATGTTAGGGGGCTGGCAGGTGGGATGGTATTTACGGTGCTTGACTCCCACATGGTGGACCACAGTTCAAGGCCCAGACCCAGCAGTTTGAAACCCACGCCGTGCACGTGTGTGTGTGGGTGCCCAAAATCCCAAGAGGAGACTGTAGAAGAGACTGTGGCATGGCCATCCCCCCTGAGGGTTGATATCTCACTTTCTCTCTCTCTGTCTCTCTCTGAGTCCTGGTGAGTGCACATGCCCTATAGCAAAAATCTCTCTAAAAAATTTTAAATAATTCTAAAAAAATTATAAAAATGACTTCTTTTAAAAAAAAGTTAGATGATGACAAAAGCTAAAGAGAATAATGCAGAGAAAGGCAATAAGGGTTTCGGGAGGGTGAGGTGTTGTAATTTTAAATAGGCAGTCAGAGAAGGCCCCACTAAGACGTGACAACAGAGTGCTGAAGGAGTGGGGACCTGAGTCGTGTGGAGAGCCACTGGAAGGACAGAACGTGCAAAGGCCCCGAGGCAGGAGCAGGCCTGTGTGTCTGAGCTCCACCTCAGAAGTCAGCCTGGTCAGAGAAGAGTGGAGGAGAAGGAAAGACAGCAAGCAGCATCGGAGAGGCCGGAAGGTGCGGGTCACTGCACCTCACTAGAGCAGGAGCGCACCCAAGCAATGATGGTGGTCTGAACCAGGGCGACAGCGAAGACATGGTTAGAAGTGGTGGATTCTGGACGTCGACAGAGAAGGCAGGGCTGCTGGGGTGCTAGCAGCTCGGATGTGGGTGTGAGGGAAAGAAGCGTTAAGGCGGACTCCATGATCTTCGACCTCGGCAGCAGGAAGGATGGATGTGCATTCACTAATGGGCCAGGAGAGGGGGTTTTGTGGGCAGAAGACAGGAGCTCAGTTTCAGACAGACTCAGCTTGCCAGCCCAGAGGAGAGGCTGGGTGGTGACTGCATGGGTGTGAGTGTGGAGTCCCGGGAAGAGGCCATCCGCCTACGGACGGCATGGAAACCGAGAATGGAGCAGCACACAAAAGAAGTGAGGGCAGTTAGAGGAGACAAGAGCCCAGAACTGAGGCCTGATGTTGAAAGGTCGGGGAGATGGGGCCACCTTCACGGCAGAGTCGAAAGTAAACTGAACTGCCATGCTGGAGGCCACGAGGCCGACCGCAGGTGCAGGTCCCCAGCTCAGCTTAAAAACAGACCCGGTGCATCTGTGTGCACCCTGGATTCGGACAAGCTGGAGGGCTGGGGAAAGGAGACTGCAGGGCGAGGGGACTGTCGGCTGTGTCTCTTTCTGTCTCTCTCATGAGTAAAACCAATAAACCTGAGATGAGACAGCAGCAAAAGATCTGAGAGAGTCAGTGCAGTGGAAAGAAATTCTAGAACTTGGTATACGGGGAAGGCACGTGAGTGACCAGTGTCCAGCACGGCTGGCTCCTGGGAAGACTGGCCGGCCCCGGGAGGGAGCATAACAGACACTGGGTATTCCGTGTTTAGCACGGCAGTCCAGGGTGCCGCGTGACCCCTTCCCCACCAGCAGGTGGTGGCGGTGGTGTGTCCTCAGGCGTCTTAGTCTGGGCGTCAGGGAGCTCTCTAACAGCACACTGAAGCGCCTGAACTAGTTCTTCACTCTCTGACCAACATCTGGATGTGGGCCGAGGGCACATGGTGGGTTCTGTGACCATTTCGTGTTGCGCTTTCACTCCCTTCCACTTCCTTTTACTTCCGTCTTTGTTAAACCGGGTTGGCAAAAGCCAGTCCCTGGTGGAGCCCCCATCCACACCGCACGCCCCACGGGGAGCAAAGGCTGCAGGAGGACAGTGTGCCCCCGTGACTGGCTTGCTTCCTGCCCCCAGCCCCAGGCCTCCCGGCCACGCTGCCGCTCTGTCCTTTTGCTTCTCTTCCCAGCCACCATGACCATCTGACACCTCCTCTCCCCTCCAGCTCCACACCTGCGCCATCCTCGCTCCCAGCCGGCGACCTCGCCTACTCACCCAGACGAGAGGCCAGCCAATGAGTGCTTCTGTGTCTTCCTACCTGCGCCCTCAGTCTGCCTGGGCCTGCCCCGCCTGTCTTTCCACCCGGGGTCTGGGGAGCAGTGCCCATCCTCTCAGCTAGTCAGAGGTCCCCAGAGACCTACGGGGCACGTCCTTAGAGACGGGCAGGCCAAGGGCCAAGCGCTGCCCACCAGGGCTTTCCCGCGTGGAAGGACAGAGGGCTCCCCCCAGGCAACCCAGCACGGAGGATGGAGCTGGGGGCCCTGGGATCCTGGGAGCTTTGTCCTGTCATGGAGCCCACTCCCCCGAGGAAGGCTGGGGACGTCACCTTCAGCTGTGGGGAGAAGGAGAAGAGGAACGTCTCGCCGGTACCGTAGAAGCCTTGGCTGAGCCGGAGAGCCGAGGAGGAGAAGGCTCCAAACATCTGAAAAGCAGAACGTGCAACTTGCAGCTGACAGAAGTCGGCACCTGCTGGCAACCCCCATTCTCCGGGCTCGGTAATGAAGGCTTATCCCAGAGGGGCACCCGAGACCCTGGAGCAGTGCTGGGGAACTGGGCTGGGGCGTGGGGGTCCTTGAGCCCTCAGCTTCTGTCCTTTCCCAGAAGGTTCCCAGGAGGATCTTCCACTGGCATCCTCCTCTCGGTTGTCAGGACCTTCCTACTCTCCCCCCCTTTTTTTTGAGTAGTTTTCACTGGTTGGGGCCAGCAGGTGGAGGGCGGTCAAGGGTGCTGGACTCCCACATGGCAGACTACATTTCCAGTTGTGGACCTGGTGGCTTGCTTTCTCACTTTCCATCTCTCTCTCTTTCTCTGTCTCTCTCTCTGTCCCTCTGTGGTCAAATTAAAGTAAATAAATATAATAAATAAAGTTAAATAAAATAGGGACAGCAGTTAGCATAATGGCTATGTTGCTGATCTCCTACATAGTCAACCACGGTTCGAGTCCTGGACCCGGTGGCTTAAATTCACACTGGACGCGTGTACGTGCATGCCTAGGATCCTAAGAGGAGAAGGGATTGCGGTGTGGCCATCCCCCTGGGGGGTGATTTCTTGCTTTCTGATTCTGTTTCTCTCTGTCTATCTGGCGAGCACATGCGCTCTATAGCAAAAAGCCTCACACACACAAAAAAAAAGAGAGAGAGAGATCCTGCATAATCCATCTGTTTGGTAAATTGCTTCTTCCTCACTTTTCTTTATACATCTGAAATACATGGGAAAGTTAAACGCACAATATGGATACCCTCCACTTAGATCCAGCAACTGTAAAGGTATTTGCCCTATTTTCTCTCTATATATATTTTTTCCCTGAACTATTTTCTTTTGTTGTTGTTTTGGTTTTTAAATCATTATTTTATTTAATTGTATTCATTGTCATTATTTTATTTTATTTA